TTGTTTCTGAGGGAAACTAGGAAGAGCACAGGGACCTTCCTAGCTTCTCTCTGCCATCTTGGCTGTACCCTCAACAAGTATTTATTAAGCCCCTCCTATGTTCCAGGCTCAGTGCTAAGTGTGCCAAATACTAAGAAAGGCACAAAACAGAACCTGTTCTCAAGGAGGTCATAGTATAATTGGCAGACAACATGCAAACAACTCCGTACAAACAAGACATATACAGGATAAATTGGAAATAATCAACAGAGGGGAAAGGCACTAGCATTAATAAAGATTTGCTAAAGTTCAAAGTGGCAGCTAGGTACAGCAGTAGATAGAACACTGGGCTTAGACTCAGGGAGCCTCATACTCATGAGTTCTAATCCAGCCTCAGACACTTACTAATTATGTGACCCAGGGGAAGTCACTTAACCCTATTTGCTCAGTTCTTCATCTGGAAAATGAGCTGGAGTAGGAAATGTTGAACAGTTTTAGTATCTTTGCCAAAAGAACCCCGAATTGGTGTCACAATGACTGAACAACAACAAAGAGTTCAAAGAGACAGAAGCTACTTCCCAAATGTTTGAATACCTGCCGTGACAGAGAACTCACTATCTTATATATCAGGCCATTCCCTTTTTCAGAAAGCTCTAATTGTTAAAGTTTTCCTTCTATTGAGCCAAAATTTGCCTAGATTTACTGGTGTCATTTCTTCTTCTGGGGCTATGCAAAATAAGTCTAATCTCTTTTCTAACTGCCAGCTCTTCAAATATTTGAAATTGTTACCTCTCATTCAACTCTCCTTTTCTCCAGATCAGATGGATTCGGTTCCTATCCTCATATTACTTTACTTTGATTTTTCTCACTATACCAACTGCCAGTCAATAGAGTTATTCCATCTAATTTGCCAATGCCCCTCTTAAAATGTGATGCCAAAACTAGACACAATTTTCCATGTATGGTCTGACCCAGTCAGAATAGAGTGAGACATTCACATTTACCTATGATTCAAGCACTATGTAAAAACCACCTAAAAGCAGATTAGCTTTTGTGGAAGTCAGGTTATACTGTTATTGCATATTGATTTTACAATTTCATTAACATTCCAAGGACTTTTTCCCACACAAATTGCTATCTGCCCCAACCTACCCACATCTTGTACTTGTGGATTTGGGTAATGACACCTTGTCAACTCAACAAGCATTTATTAAGTGCTTACTACACACCAGGTACTGTGCTGGGTTCTGGGGATATAGGGAAAGGCAAAACCAGTCCCTGCCCACAAGGAGCTTACATTGTAATAGAGGAGACGGTCTATAAAGAAATAGGTATGCACAAGATTTATAAAATAGAATCTCAAAAGGGAAGGCACCAGTGGGGGTGGGGTAGGGTGGGGCAGGGAGATGGACTTGGAATGGTTTCTTTCAGGAGAGGTTTGAGCTGAATGTTTAAGAAAACCAATGAAGCTAAGTGACAGAACCGAGGAGAAAAAGCATTTTAATCACAGGGGACAGAGATGGAGATGGAGTGGCATGTGTGAGGAAGAGCAAGTAGGCTAATGTGTTTTGATCACAAAGTTAGTATTAGTGGAGAGGAGTCAATGTAAAAAGACTAGAAAGGTAAGAAGAGAGTGGGTTGTGAAGAGCTTTAAATGCCAGAAGATCTGATACTTGACCATAGAGGTCACAGGAAGCTTCTAGGGTTATTGAGTATGAGGGTAGGGGGGTGGAGTAGAACCTGGATATTTATCCCAATTAAATTCCATCTTAGATTTAGCCAGTTGCTTCAGCCTGTTGAGATCTTTTTGGAAACTGACTTTGCCATCCAGTGCATTAACCATCCCTCTCAATTTTGTGTCATTTGCAAATTTGATAAGCATGGCACCTCTGCCTTCATCCAGGTTATTGATTTTTTTTTAAAAAAAATTGATCAGTGCAATACCAAGGACAGATCCCTGGGTCATTCCATGAGAGATTTCCCTTAAGTTGGTTATATTCTAACACTTGGCAGCGTAACGAGGGGGTTACTATCATTTAATCAGTCCTGAATCCATGGCATTATACTATCATCTTTCAAATTTATAGATTGAATTGTACAATTAAGTGGATTTTGAAATCAATCTAACTATCCATTTATGGCTAGACAATTTTTTAAATGACTCTTCTGCCTAAATAATGAGCATATGTGTTATTTCAAAAGTTTGATTTATTTGCTTTAAAAAATATTCAAATTCTATTAATTTGGAACAAAGGAACTCTGAAAGAGTAGCACCAAATGGTTGTTTAATGCAAGCAACCTACTTTTCTCTCATTTCTGATATGTTCGAATGAAAATGTTGAAAACCCAGTATTTTAAAAAATAAAAATCATGTTTAGCTTCTTTATGTTTAATACAATCATCTTAAGTAATCAAAGCAGGAATTTTCCTGAGCATCTTCCAGCAAGATTTTTCACAGGGAAGCATAAAGGTCACTTGACCTCTGTGGATACACAGCCTCACATGGAGCGGCACGCAGGATTGCTCTGTGCCAACAGCAGCCAGCAGCTGTTAGTCTGGGCTTCAGTGATGAGTGCCTAATTAGGAAGTCCAAAGAAGGGCCAGCTTTATAACAAGGAGGCTAAATGCAAAGATGTTCGATGTTAGGGCATTCACCCATTCATTCTTAATGCCAGATATTTCTTATTTCAGCCCTGGAGTTTGGCCATGCTAGGTCACTGACCCAGTAGAAATCCCTCATCTGTCACTTTCAGTAGTTCTTGAAGCACTTTCACGATGTCAGGTCTGCTTCCTGTGAACATTTTTTTCTCTTGCCTATCTCAGATGTTAGAAATCACATAATAGGAAAAAAAAAGTTGGATTCCATTTTAAATCAGACCCATAAGACAAACATATGGTAGGGGTCTGGACAAAGTCTTGTGGCATTGGAATGGCATACTCTATTTCCCTTATTACACAAACAAGGAGTTTGGATTTCATCAGAGCAAGGAACTCCTGGTGGGAGAACTCCTTTCACCAACCCATATCCAGTTAGCCATATATGACTCAGGAGATAAATCTTACAGAGTTGCTTAAGAAACAGAGAGATGGAACAAGTTTGCCAGAATCACACAACTAGTAAGTGTCAGGGGAGGGGGGTTTCAACCCAGGTCTTGTGACAATATACACCCAGCACTCTCCTCACTGCACCAGACTGCCTTCATCCCCTTTGTTGCATATGCTTAAATATTCAAATAACCCCATATAAAGTCAATAATAAGTTATATGGTCTTGATTCCCAGTCTTTTGCTGCTAACAGCTGAATGCGTATATTCCCTGATACTGTGGATGTTTAGGCTGGAGGAGAGAATAATACATTTTGAGCAGAAAGAGACCATCTAGTGCAACTTCCTCCTTCTATGGATGAGAAAACTGAGACCCAGGGAGTTTAAATGACTAGTTATCACACAGGTAATAAGTAGTGGTAGTTTTTTAACTTGGGTCTCCTGACTTCAAAGTCAATTTTCTTTCCACTGACCCATCTTGCCTTCTCAGAAAGATTCAGGAAAAACCAATGGTTGTCTTCCATGTCCAAAGAGCATGTGTGATAAAAGAGAGAGAGAAGGTTGAGTATTGTGTTTTTTCTTTCTTGGCCTGAGTGATGGCATTTTTTTTAGAATTAGCCTCTATTCAATACAAAAAAAAAAGGAAGAAAGAAAGAGAGAAAAAATAGCAGTCATGTCTAACTCCTATTTTGCTTTCCTTTACCCTAGTTCTTGAGCAAAGACACTCCAAAAAACAGTCTGTCCTCTGATGAAATCCTGAGGCTATCAACAGACTAGCATATGAGAAAGCCGCTCCCTCCTTTCCCTTGTAACTCAACAAGATGCCCCCAAGGCAAAAGCCTAACCAGTTGTATGCTTCTGGATTTTCTTCATGTCTCTGGGAAATTAGTTGTAATGAGAAGTCCATTTGCATGTACAGATGATGCTTCCTCATGCCTTGGCTTGTAGTAATGTACGGAACAAAGCCTTTTACTGAACTGAATGCTAAATTATATTGAGGTGAGTGCTCAAGCTGCAACATATAGAATAACGATCAGACTACTTCTGCTTGGCCCTAGGGAGCAAAATTAGTAGCAGTGGTTAGAAATATTAATAAAACAAATTTGGGGTCATAGATTTAAAGCTAGAAGAGCCCTTATGAAGGCAATGTCCTCATCATTTTCCAGATGAAGGTATTAAGGCACCGAGGAGTTAAATGTCTTACTCAAGGTCACCCAGCTAACAAGAATCTGAAGCAGGATCTGAACTCAGTTCTTGTTGAATCTGTATCTGGTACCCTATTTACTATGCCATTCTATCTCTAAGCTAAGTGTAAAGAACAGTCTAACAATCACAGCTGTCCCTAAAGTGGACCAGGCTGCCTCAGGAGGAAGTGGTTTCTTCCTCACTGTGCTTCTTCAAGTAGGATCGGTTGGAATATTTGAAAGGAGATGCTTTTAAAGTACAAATGGAACTAGATGGCTTCAGAGCTCCTTTCCAACTCTGAAATTCTGTGATTCATACAATTTCAATTGATCTTTGTTTTGGTTGATTTTTATGATTATTGAATCACTAACTAAAAACAAAGAAGTTGCTGTTCAGCAATTACGTGCTGATCACCTTTTTAGCACCACTAATCCCTGACTGCCTTATAAACACCTTGTATGAACACCAGCCTGCTGTATTCACTGCCACAGGAAATTACCAAGCAGTGTGATAATGGAGTTCATAAAGTGGGTGACCTAGGGATTAAATCATACCTACCTTTTCACTAAAGGAAGACAGTTTTTACCCTTAGCCTCAATGAGAATAAATGTCCTGTCCATTTAAAAAGGGAAGAAAAGACAGTCACCTCTTAGAGAGGGCCCTTGGCATTAGAAAGCAGCTCACTTCTTTTTTTTTTTTTTAATTGACTCTGCTTCTCATTGGAGTCCAAATGCTCTCTTGGGCTCTCTGCAGAACAACTGCAAACTCCATGCATATTTTCCATTTCTTTAGAAGGCCGGGTGGATTTGCAAGGTTACCCACTGGATATGCCAATGCAGACTGACGGCCCAAAGAGTGACGTGGACTTTTCAGAAATTCTTAATGCAATACAAGAAAGTAAGTTTTGCTCGCATTTTAAATTGATTACTAAAGCACAACCCAGAGCAAAATGCTGAAACGGACTGATGAATTTGAAAATATAGACAGGGCACTTGAATAGGTGATGGCCAGATACTTCAAAAGAAAGAAGAGAATACAAAAGTTAATTGCATTGTAACAGAAAGGTGGTTGGTGAAATGGATTATTTTACTCATGAAATTGAATGATTTCTAAGCAATTAGCATGTCTGTATTTTCTTTAAGGTTGGTTGGAAAAACTTTAACAGAGCCCTCAGCCCCTTGAATGGGCTCCAAATATCTAAGCAGTGGAATAACTAGATATATACCATCTATAGGGTGGACTCCCTGGATTATTGCTCTGTTTTGTTTTGGGAGGAGGGGGACCTCATCGGTGTGATGTCTTTGGTATAGAGAATTCCTAATGAGGAAGTTCTCCCTGCTGGTGCAGAATGGCACCTGTTCTGCAACTTTCCACCTTAGAAAAATCAAGGGCCCTGAGAAGTTCTTAAGCATCTTTCCTATGATCACACAGCCCATATGTATTAGAGGCTGCATTTGCACCCAGGTCTTCTTGATTCCAACAACAGCTCTCTGTATTATTATTATTATTATTATTATTATTATCATAGCATTTATATAGTACCTACTATGTGTCAGGGGTTTATTCATTCAGCAAACACTAAACAAATACTAAAGTGAACTGTGCTAAGTACCAGGAGAGGTATGGAAAGAGACTCAACCTGTGATTTTCTTAGTGTTGGGAGCTCCTAACACAAGTCAATACCTTCTCTACAACTTACAGGCTTAGAGAATTAGAAAGATCAGTAAACTTCAGAACTTAAAGTCTAGCGGAGGAAGACAAGGCATTGACCAGTCAACAAGTCTTTATTCAGTGCTTCCTGTATGTCAGGCTTTGGGCCAGACACTGGAGTCACAGAGACAGTGAATGAAACCATTTCTATTCACCAGGAGTAAACATTCATGTATGTGGATGAAAGTGATGAGGAGGAGGATCAAAGCATCATGAATTTAGAGTTAAGGGACATTAAAGCCATCTAAGCCATCCTACACCCTCCAGTTTGGCAGATCAGGATACTGGGGCCCAAAGAGATGGAATGCCTCTTTCTATGGTATCCTATTGCCTTCTGTAGTAATGAGGTATTAAATTAGGGTTCTGGTTTATTTAAAAAAAAAAACAACTGGTAAGATTTAGCGACAATGATGGTGCATTCTATATCTGTGTTATTTTTCTTTTAAGGCATTTAATAAATATTTATTGATGACATGCCACACCCCCTTGTAGCTTAGGGGGTAAATCCTTATTTACATTTTACAGATGGAACAACTGAGGCTCAGAAAGATAAAGGAATATGCCCAAGATCTCCTCTAAAATCATGACAAAGTCAAGGCTAGAATCTAGGTTTCCTGTATCTTTGTTGTTTCTTTCAATGAAATCCCACCACACAGAACTTTTAGTGGCATACTATTGAACAAAGTTAATCTTGTAAAAGACAGGAAACATTCTCAGAAGAAGGCAGGGGATGTTTCCACCAAAGAATAACTATTCCTCAGGGTTCCAGTCAGGGTGTCCTATTATATTGGGTTGATTTGTACAAGAGAAATTGAATTTTTCCTGAAAAGATAATCCAGCTTGAATTAATAGAAGTTTGAAGAAAAAATAGCTTCTTTGTGAGGACTTAGGAGATAATGTAATTTCCTGGTTCAATTTGAAAGATGATGGATTACCTATGGTTATTTAAACTATTGTTCATATGTTTCTTAAATTTTCCACCAGAAATGAAAATAGGGATCATTTTCAGGTCTTTAAGAACATAAAGGTAAAACTTTGGGTGGGGATACAATGAAGCCTTGGTTGATTATGGGCATTATGCATTTTACATCAATTAATCATAATTATGGGCATTATTTTTCTCAGTTACTTTGAGATGAGAGAGGTCAAGACATTTCTGTATTTCTCCATTGTGGGTTTCATATATAAGAACATGCAATTCTTATGGAGAAGAGGGTTATGTTTTTTGTTTGTTTGGTTTTTATTTTGTTCTACCAATATATCAGGTATGGGTTTATGAGTGTCAAAGATGGGGTGAAGTGTGTAGGGAGAGATACAGGTTGCCTAGACCTGTGGTTTCATCTGGGTATGAAAATTTTTTTCCGTAAGTACAGGTTGGCAGCTGTTCTAATGATGTAGTCTAATCGAAGAGACTTGCCCGGATCCCCCCTGAGTTTGAGTGATTTGCCCCAGGTTTAACATGTACTATATCATAGGCTGAATTTGAGCTCAGGTTTTCTCCTTCTTTCTACTGTTCCTCCCTAGTGCTGAGTGTTTAATATTTAGTATTGAATAGTTATGGAAGAGAGAAGCAGCCTGACACAGTGGTTAAAATGTTAGACTTGAATTTTGAAAAGCGTCAGTTCTTGCAAGACAGGGATATATACATATATGTATATTTGCATACCTTCAGAAAAGTTAGTGCAGAACATCAGGCCTTGTTTACTATGGTAAAAAGGGAGAGGAATAAAGATATGTGTTCAGACAAGAGTTGTTAGGTCACCATGAGTAAAGAGTGAGACATGGAAGACAAGTCAATACAATTTTAGCCTACCCTAATAGACACAGGGGCAGCTATGTGGCTCAGTGGATAGAGTGCCAGGCCTGGAGTCAGGAAAACCTGAGTTCAAATCCAGCCTCAGACACTTAATAGCTGTGTGGCCTTGGGCAAATCACTTAACACCATTTACCTCAGTTTCCTCCTCTGCAAAATGAGCTAGAGAAGGAAATGGCAAACCACTCTAGTAGTTTTGCCAAGAAAACCCCAAATGGGGTCACGAAGAGTTGGACAAGACTGAAAATGATTAGACATAGTAGACATATGATATCTGGGACAGAGGGGGTGGTCATCCTCTCTTGGTCAATTCCTCATAGCACATTTAGGAGAGACCTTGACAAGCTGAAGTATATCCTACAGAGTGAAACTACAATGGTGATAACACTCAAATTGATGCCATATGAGGGTTAGTTAGAGGAACTGGGGATGCATAAGATGGAGTAGAAAAAACTTGGGGTAGTAAAACTCAATTAGTGTTTTCAAAGAGTTTTGCATGTAGCAAATGCTTAAGCCATTTTCTAGGTGGCCCAGTGGATGAGTGTTGGAATTGAAATCGAAATCAGGAAGATAGTAATTTGAATCCCACCTCAGACATTTACTATCTGTATGATCCCAGGCACATCACTTAACCTTTGACTGCCTCGGTTTTCACATCTGTAAAATGGGGATGATAATGGCATCTACCTCATGGGTTGTCAAATAAGATAGCATCTCAAGTGCCTTATAAACCTTGAAGCACTATGTAAATACTAGCTATTACTATTATTACCTTCACTGAATGACTATATGAACAGCTATCATGTGGAAGTCATGTAATACTACTGTGCTGTAAGAAATGAAGAAAAAGATGGTTACAAAAAGATATGGAAAGGCTCATAGTATGAACTGATACAAAGTGAAGAGAGTGTAACCAAGAGAGTGATTTATATTATACCTTCAGAAAAGTTAGTGCAGAACATTAATATTATACAAACAATTTTCAAAGAAAACTCTGATCAGTGAAATGATTAACCATGATTCCAGAGGACAGATAAAGAAGAACATGGCCCACCCTATGACAGAAAGAGAATTGACTAACATGCAGAACAAGAAATGCATTTTTGGATGTGACCAGTATGAAAATTTGTTTTACATGGCCATGTTATGTATTATAGGTCTTCACTCCTTCTTTTCTCTCTCTCTCTCTCTCTCTCTCTCTCTCTCTCTCTCTCTCTCTTCCTTCCTTCTTTTTTTCTTTCTTTTCAGTGGGTGAGAAGAGGAAAAATAAAAATGCTTGTTAATTTTTTAAACCATTTAGATGTTTTTGAATTGGGCTTCAGAGCTCCAGAGACACATCGAGAGGCAGAACTGGGAGCAGGAAAAGGCAGTTACAAAGAGGCCGCTTTTAGCTCAGTATGTGGACAAACTTCCCACCAATTAGGGCCATGGCTGAGGCTTAGGTCCTCATGCAAGTTGTAGAATTCTCTGTCAGGCCTGGTGCGTGGAGGAGATTGCTACTCAAAAATAGGCAGGAGCGAATAGCCTATCCAGGTGCTGTCCTGTTCTCGAGTTTCTCTGCTTTAATAAGAATTAATGACCCATCTAGATGAATGAGATACTGGATTCAAAGCCAGGAAGAATGGAATTCAAATCCTGAATCAGACATTTATTAGCAGTTTGACCCTAGACAAGTTACTTAATCTCTCTGTACCTCAGTTTCATCATAGGTAAAATGGGGGGCTGGATTTGATGACCTGTAAAGTCCCTTCCAGGTCTAAATATTATTATATGAATTAGCATCTCATAAGCATGGCTAAATGAGGCAGCTTTTACTCCTGGAAATACATACATACATACATACAAACATGTACACACATACATATACCTGCATGCATATTACACACATAGATGTGTGTATATATACACAGGGATATATGCACATTAATGTATGCATACATGTATACATTGCATGCATATGTGCCTATATACATTTATATACATCTATACTGCATGTAATATATATGTAAAGTAGCTTCATTTTGTCCCTTGTAATTTACAGCAACCCAGAGATCTTTCCAACCCTAAGAATAGAAATATAGCAAATGAAACATTTCAGAGCTTAACGTACACTTGCTCCCATCAGGACTTAATTACCTTGGCCAGATCACCAAGGTTACCATTGTGTATCCATGCCATAGTCTCTAATCAACATCATACACATTCCTCATTGTTGAAATAGGAAAAGACTGGCAGTTCATTGAAATTATCTTAAAAGAACTGGAATACATTAAAGAAATCCATGGCTTTTATGCAAAAGAAAAATCAGAATGTCTGGAGTATTGTAAGTAATTTTCCACAGCTGAATGAACGTACTGATGTATTGGATAAACCC